TGATTGCAAAATGTTTTTAACAACAATTTGATTCAAGCTCAAGTGGAAAGGGTCATGACACCTGTACTAACCGTCTGTTTGTCCTTTTGTAGTGGGGACTAACAGTCACAGTTTGGGTAAACAAAAGACAGACCACAAAACTGCTTTGAGATGCGGTTTTTTGCAAAAAAAAATTCACTTCCTGAGCTTGGTCATTAGAAATCACTTTTTACTGCCATCAGAACAGAGAATTGATTGAATTATGCATAGTTTTTTCTGTTTTTATACCAGTGAATTCGCCTTTTCTCAACAGACCTGTTTCTTTTTTCCTTTTCCCTCTATACATCAAATAACAAGTAGATGTACACTTAAAACCGTCTTTTAAAACCTCACGCAAATGAGCCACGTCTTCCATTCCTTTTTCTTTCTTTTGTTAATTTCCTTAATTTCACTGCAGGTTTACTAGAAACATCAGTAAAATTTAACGCAATCACAGTTGTCGCCGGCCACCCTCTTGCTAAGCACTTCTTTGTCATCAACAACCCGTTTTGCAGCACTGTGAAAATTTGTACGGATCAGCCATTATCGCCGTATTCGATGAACAAATCGTAGTGCAGGAGAAAACTACCACGCCAAATATAACTTTAATGTAAAACAGTTAAGCGCCTTAGCTGTTTTATCGCTTGTACAACAAACGATTAAAATAGTTGAAAGCACGGGTAAGTGCGGGTTTTAAGTTTATAAAATTGACATGATGATGCTTTAATGACGAAAGCTATTAAAATGTTTATTACGGAAACTAACAAATCCAGAACTAAGAAACTGCTAGTAACAAAAAATGAAAACTCAATACAACAGTCATGAAAAAGACTTCTACAGTTCAAGGTGTACAGCAAATGATTTTTTTCCCCAAACCACTTATTTCCTTCAGAATGTTCAGCGTATTAAACATGATGGAAAACTGTTAGCACTTACGCCTATCCTATCACTGGAATTCCTCTTTGCCAGCTCACTTACGACTTTATTTTCTGCTGTGAACAGAGCTCTAAAAAATTACCGTCATACAAAAACGCGGCACAATGGAACCAGATGACATTTTAATGGCATCGAAAAATATTTCAGTTCGCCATTAGGTCTGCTTTTCTACACAAAAAACTTATTTGAAATTACAGTAACCATCCTGACAAATTACGAAGGCGCGACATTCTTTGATTTATCGGAAGAATTTAAATAAATAAGTCTAAAGCGCTTATAAACCTTCTTAATGTTGGCTAATTCAGCACGAAGCATGCTTCCAAAATCGTCGTGGACTTGTCCAAACACTGTAATCGCTCTTTCTGCCACCATTTCTTCACATTCGTTCAACGCTACAGCCAAATTTTTCACCAGCCTCTCTCGTGCTCCATCATCTAGTACCTGGACAACGAGTATTTCTGAGGGTGTGATATTTACTATATTATTGATAAAAGGAATAAAACTTATTTCCAATCACCAAAAAAGTTAAGAAGCAGCGAAATGTCCCAACCTTCATCCAGAAAACGCGTGGCTGGGAGAAGTTATCGTCATCAGAACTATCATACCGCGACACACTTCCGCTCACAAAGTAACTGGATTCAGCCGCGTCCTTCCGTTCTACTGGGCCGTTGCACGTATTTGGGTGGTATGGTGGCCTGTTTTCTACAAAAAAAATTTTTTTGGCTACGTCTTTACAACGATTTCAAGTTGAAATGATATAAAGGAGAAGGAAGTAGCTAACCAGATGAAATGTATACCATATTTCCGTCAATCTGAGTATTAGCCACATGAGTTTTATATGGGCAGTTGATAGGAATTTGCATATAGTTCGGTCCAAGCCGATGGAACTGGGTGTCCGGATATGCAATCAGTCGCCCTGGAAAAGGACCAAAATAGATCTCTTTATTGGTAACCGACTGACTCAAATTGTAAAACAACATTTTAAAGTTGCGGCTCTCGAATTACATGAGTTAGTATTAGCCTGATACTAAATTTATTGCATCGACTGCACACAAGTAATACCTTGCAACATTTTGTCCGGAGAAAACTCTATGCCAGGCACAATGCGTGCAGGAGCGAATGCAACCTGCTCAACTTCAGCAAAATAGTTCCGTGGGTTACGGTCAAGCGTGATTTTTCCGACTTCGATAAGAGGATACTCTTTGTGCGGCCATACCTTTGAATTGGATGCATTTGAAGTTCAGTATTTTGTTAAGGGTTTTGAATTAAAGTGCTATAGCACTACTTTAGTAACAAAGAGTATCTAATTCTAGAAAAAGTGGCAAACGAGCACCTTTGTGATGTCAAACGGGTTGAACGGACTTGCTGCTGCTTGTTCGTTAGTCATGACCTGAAACAACTTCTAGGAGTACTTTTTGAAGGTAAAAATAGCTGACAGGCGAAAAATATTCTTGAAGCAACCGTAAAAATCGGACACGAAACTTTGCACCGACCTGTATGTACATTGTCCACGTCGGGTACTCGCCTTTGGCAATAGCATTGAAAAGGTCGCGTACTGCGTAGTCAGGATCGGAACCAGCCAGCATTGTTGCTTTTTCCGGTGTCAGATTCTTGACGTTCTTTGTCTGAAAGTTTACATCACAAAACAGGGCGTAATTTTCCCAGAAACATCAGTCCAAATTACTTTTCACTCTCTCTTCTGAAACACTGGTGCCAATATAACCAAAAACACGTAGTAAATCATACCTTTATATGAAATTTGCAAAATACTGTTTGGCACTCCTCGTTGACCAACTTGAAGGTATGTGAACCATATCCGTTCATAAAGCGGAATCCATCAGGAATGCCGCGGTCACTGAAGAGGATCATCATCTGGTGCGTTGACTCGGGACAAAGACTGACAAAATCAAAGAACGCATTTGTGTCCTAAAATAAGCGTAAAGTTCTTGTTAACAGCGTTGCTCAAGTATATGGAGAAGTTTCTGGCTTTACATTTTAAAAACATTACTCTGAGATTGCTGACGGGATTACGCTTAACTGCGTGAATGAAGTTAGGGAATTTCAAAGGATCTCTGACAAAAAACACGGGTGTGTTGTTCCCCACAAGGTCCCAGTTTCCTTCGTCAGTGTAGAATTTAATGGCAAAACCACGTGGGTCCCGCACAGTATCTGCTCCTCCTTTTTCAGATGCTGAAATTCACAATAAAAATTTGTAAGCAGTATTGTTCTTTCGTTGATTATAATAGATAGTTATCACTATAATGCAGTCAGTTAATGAAGATAGAGCATTGGACAAACCGACTGTAGAGAACCGAATAAACAAAGGGGTTTTTTTGCCGACTTCGCAAAAAATATTTGCTTTGCAATACTTTGTTATGTCATTCGTTACTTCAAAATACCCGTGAGCCCCTGTAACAATAATCTGAATGAGTTGATGATCTACTGCCCAAATCACCGTAGTAATACATTTAAAGAGTACCAGAGTGCTTCTTGCTTCATCTGCACTCTTAACGGCAAGTTTTGGAAGCTTTAATACTAAATAATTGCATACCATACTAGAAACGACGTCACGAGTAATGTACGTAAATGTTAATAGATTACCAGCTCCCTTTGCATGTACGACTCTTTCCGGTATACGCTCACGATCAAAATGCGCAATCTCATCGTAGTAAATGACATCTTCCATCAGCATCGGTCCTCTAGCTCCCGCAGTCAAAATGTTATTTTTATCACTTATTGGTCGTCCAGATGAAGTTGTCATCGTCTGTGGCACCTCCAATTTACTATAAAGCTAAAAAAAACCGATTTAATTTGACACTCTAGCAACTGTAATTGTTCAAATGCATCCAGCAGCGACTAAAATTTCATCCAGAAAACTACTAGACTTGAAAGAGGTTCTAGCACTCAAAAATTCCCCGTTTCTTACGTTGTTTATTAATATTTAATTTCTTTTGTATCAGCAATAGTAGGACCTAATGTTTTCTAGTATCTCATTTTCTCAACTAAAACTCATTAACATAGCTAGATCCGTATCTGTAAATCCCATACCGATGCTTTAAGCTTATACATTGCAGAAGTTCTTTCGCTCTGTTCTTTACAGACGTTTTGTCCTAACCTGTCCCAGTCGGCCATGCAGTTCCACTAGCCTGTATTTACCACTTGGATGAAACCTAAAACCAACTTCTTGTTACATTACTTCAACTTCTAATGATAGTCATTGACATATACAATTCTTTGACTATGTAAAAGATCACTGATATGCCGCACTCTTATGTACCTTCATTAATTTATATCTTCACACTCATACAAGAGATAGGGGCCGGAACTAGAAGCATTTTATGATGCTACTCACTAAAATTAAACTGCTTCTGCCGGATAACAAAGGTTGAAATAAAAGTTAAATATGCCGATTAAAGCACTACCAAACAAGTTTTATCTGATATGGTTACCAAAGTGCTTCTAATAGTGCAGAAAGAAGGCACTAATAAATGAAGGATTTACTAAAAAAGCAACTTATTTACCTCCCCATACCAATTCTGTAACTGAAAACCATAAAAAAGAATTCGTTGAGCATTCTTCATCAGAAGTGATAAAAATTTTATTACTTGTAAATCTTTACTTAACATAATGAAGGTAATCTTTGTCAACACTAACGAACTGGAATAAACAATAAACCACATTTTGTGAAAGTTGTAGGATGGAAACGATACCGCATAGTTGGCTAAGCGTTTATAAAAACAGATTGCAGACATTTTAAAGAAGAAACAAAAATATATATTAAGCTGAACAAAAGAGACAACAGCCCGTCGTTCTTGCTACAATTTACACTAATTTCTATGTGCCGAAAAGAGTGAGTCTGCCTTGGTTATTCGATAACCCATGGCAAAATTTATAGGTACAACATCTTTTGTATTTTTTGAATGTTTCATAATCAATGTTATTTTTAGTCTATGTTTAATTGTATTTTGATCATTAAAAAACGGATTAATAAAAATCACTTTGGTTAGAGCAAATGTTTACGCTAAAATCTTAAGGCCAAATAAACGCTATAAATTTATAAACTCCAGCAAAACGTTCACAATTTTTGACACCTGGAGTATCTTCCATGCCGTTCCTTTTAACACCACAGAGGTGGCTGACGCTTTATAACAACAGATAGCGGGACTTTTAAAGAAGAAACAAAACTGTACACTAAGTTGAACAAAAAAGGCTACAAATTATCGCTCTTGCAGCAACTTATTGTAATGTTTATGTGCGAGATTAATGAAATTGTTTTAGTCATCTGATGACCCATAGAAAAATTTGGTTTTGCTTTATCCTCAAGCATTGAGTTATATTTAGTAAGAACCTGGCAGAAAATGATATATGTGGACACGACTAGCAAACGATGTTGAGACCTGTAATGGTTAAGCCAACACAATTCAGTTAAATAAATAATTTTAATGTTAAATATTTTACCCATCTTTTATTGGAAGCGTCAAGGTAGCTTTAATGTGTTAGTCAAGTCTACAATTGTTTCTGTTTCAATTTCTGAATGAACAAAAAAAAATTACTTCTAAGCACTGGTAACTTAAGGAAAACCATTTTTTGAGGGGTTACTTGTTTTCGGAGAAGCAAAAAAATGTCATTTTGTTAGAAGTGTGTCTCTTGTGCGCCAAGAAACTTCGAGTAAAGTACAAATGTAAACAGTAAAAAAAATGGGTTTGACCTTTTACTTTTGTGCTTGAGGTTCTTTTTTTTACTTTTTCATATAACTGCCCAAAACTTCTGATTATTAAATTGTATCATTGCTTCTTAAGGTCATAAAATGCTGGTATCGATCTAACGCTTTTTTAACAGGCTTCACCGCCATCTTACTGAATAATGCTTTTTACTGTTTTTGGTAAAAAAAAAAAAAAAA